TGTAACTTCTAAGCTGATTCAGAAGGTGTTGTTCAAGTGCCGTTTCCAATTTTAGTAGCCGCTAGGTCACTTTTTCGGCTTTTTTAAATTGGACTCACTTTTGTGGAATTGGGCCTCCTAATACTAATATTGGTGTCCTTTTCCCTATATAATAAGGTAAAAGGTACAAATATAATTAATATATGCTTGTAGTATGTGTGTGAGAACAAATATATTTTTGTTCTATTTTTTGGAACAAATATACGTCTGAAGTTGATGTGAGAGTGCATGTATACATCTTAACTTTTAAAAGATGCAAAAATGCCCTCATGTTTTCAATAAAGCAACAAACTTACCCTTATTTACTTTAAATAAATAAATAAATTTTATAAAACACCAAAAGTTAATTATAAACTCGAAATTAAAAATAAAAAAATTTAAGAGTTAAAAATAAAGAATTATTTTTATGTTAAAATATTAAATATTTAATTTTAAATTGCCAAATTATTATTTTTCCCTTGTAACTGAAGCACTAAAATATATTTACACATTGTTTCATTTGTTTTTTAAATATCATTCTTTGATTTTGTTTAACTTTAATGAAATTAAATACACCAATTTTGTAATCTTGGACTATTTATCATCATACAAAATATGCAATTCTATAGTGCAAAGAATATAAAAAATTAATGTTTTTTACATTGCAACACATATGTTAACACTTTTCCAAAAGAATCTTAAATATATACTACGTCCGTCCCCATAATATTGAGACGGAAGGGAGTGATTTGGTTTTTAAGAAAAGTAGAATTATGTGATTGATAATGAGTTAATAAAGTGGATATAAAGTTAGAATGATTTAGAGCCACACAAAATGATACTCCCTCTGTCCCATTTATATTGTCCCAGTTCCTATTTACTTGGTTAACACAAATCACTTTTAATTTCTTACTTTATATATAAAAAATTTATCAAATTTGATTCAGGTTTTTGCGACTTTGTAAAGCTTTAAATTTAATTTCTGAATATGTAATTTTTTTTCCTAAAAATAATTTGAGTGCGAACAGGAATCTGTTTGCTTTATCGTCGGTCAAACATCGTCGTAAACCGTAAAGAGACAATATAAATGGGACGGAGGTAGTACCAAATATGGTATGAGACTATAATAGGGGCATCCAAAAATGAAAAAATGAGACAATTATAGGAGGACAAAAAGAGTAGTATGTTTTGAAATAATATCTTATAGTTACAATATTAAATTATGATACAAAAATAATGAAAGGGAGAATTGGACACAAGTAATTTTTAATCTTTAAATTTATAATTAATTTTTGAGTTGCCAAACACCTTGTGGTTCGATGACATCACTGTGACACTCCCAAAGAGGAGTTCACATGTTCGAAACTCATCCCAGTCAAAGATGTTGACATTTAACAATGAAGTATTGAACATATACTATAAGAGAGACTAAAAAGTCTAGCAAAAAAAGAACATTTTTTGAGTTTTTTCCCTAAATAATGTCAAACAAAAAAATATTTCCAAAATTAATGTTAGGTTAAACGTATTTCCGAAAATACTACATAAACAAACCTGAGTTTAGAGAACCGTCACTTGGAAAAAAAAAAGATGACACCCCATCCCTGAGGACCCCCCAACACCCACCGGACGGCACGATGAGAGGATGTAAATTGGACTATAATCACAATCTGACAGATAGAGAGTGTGGCTCTGTCCCCGATACTTGCAGAGGCCCTATGCATTTTTCAGCATAGTAACCCCTCATCGCAGTTGCCGGGATTCGAACCCGAGACCTAACCCTTGTGGCACTCTCTTGCTACCACTTGAGCTACGCACACCGGTAGAATCGTCACTTGAAGAGTTGAAGTGACGGTTTATGGAAAGAGAATGTAGCGATGCCAAAGCCAAAGGATATAAGGTAATGAGTCTCATCCAAAATAAAATCTCGTGTTTTCTAATAAAGTGTCGTAACCATTTTATTTGTACTCTAATTGTTACAAAAAGTATATCAAAACTCATAACTTTTTATTACCTTTCATATGACACCAATATTGAATATATAAAAATAAAAAAATAGTTTAACACTTTAAAAATTATCTATTTTTTGTTGTGGAATATTTTTATTTGTACTCTGAGGATGTTTTTACTTGGACTGTAATTTGCTGGACTGGTCTGATTTGGTCTGGTGTCTTTGTATTTTTATAACTATACAAGTCTGTTCTGGTCTATTCTGGTCTGGTTACGTCTGGGACAAGTTACAGTCCAAGTAAAAACATCCTGATTGTAACAAAAAATATCTAAACTCATAACTTTTATCATATTTTATATGACACCTATATTGAATATATAAAAATAAAAAAACAATTCAACACTTTAAAAACATACTTCGTATGTTTTTAAAAAATGCATGATATACCATTTTTATTTGCACATCAAGTTTGTACAAAAAATATACGGAGTATCAAAATTCATAAATTTTTATTACCTTTCATATGACACCAATGTTGCATATAAAAATAAAAAAATCTATTAATTTATGCAGTTTATAATAGTTTTTTATCTTGCACGCTATTAATCAAGAGTGATGACTTAGAATAAAATAGCATAAATTCTCGCGCAAAGAATAAAATAAATAAAAAAAAGTGATAGACTTTGTGCAATTTTATTTTAATCTATCACTCTCGATTAATTGTGTGTACGGTAAAAAATGATCCTAAAATGCATAAATTAAGATATTTTTTATATGAAACATTGCTTTCATATGAAAGGTAATAAAAAATATGAATTTTGATATATTTTGTGTAATAATCAGAATACAAATAAAAAAGACATAGTGATTTAAAAACAAATGATTTGTAAAGTGTTAAATTATTTTTTTGATTTTTATGTATTCAATATTGATTCATATGAAAGGTAATAAAAAGTTATAAATTTTGATATATTTTTTATAATAATCAGAGTACAAAGTAAAACATTATGACACTTTATAGAAAATAGGAGATTTTATTTTGGGTGGGTCTCATTACGTTATGTTCTTTGACTTTGCCATTGCGTGTTACGTGCATTCTTTGAACAGTATTTGGGGAAATACTTTTAACCTAACATTAATTTGAGAAATATTTTATTACTCCCTCCCTCCGTGCCCTTTTAAATGTTTTGTTTATCATATTGAGATGTTCCTATTTAATTGTCTCATACCTTATTTGGCAAAGTTTGTGTGGCGCAAAATCATTCTTACTTTATTATTACTTGGGTTTTTTACAAGATTATTACTAAAATAAAACTTATTTACATAAATATGACTATTCATTACTACAACGTAGTGTTGTGGTAACTTAAGTTCAAAACTTGAACATGAATTACTATGATTTCATTACTACTCTAATAACTAATCATATTTTTGTAAATCATCTTTATTTTCATCATATTTATGTAATTATTTCTTATTTTACTTTATCAATTAATATCAATCACACAAACCCACTTTTCATAAAACTCTGTCACCCTCTTCCGTCCCAATATAAAAGGGACAGAGGTAGTATTTGATATTATTTTGGGAAAAAAGTCTTAATTTTTGGCATTTTTTGAAATTTATTTTATCTGGCAATAAGAGTAAAAGTTAAGAATTATGCAATTCCACACTAAAATATTTATTCCAAACAAAATATCAATACATTTGTTCTTGCACCAGAACATTATTTTTTATTGGAACTGAACCTTTTGAGAGAGGAATGCTCAGGTCCATCCGGAGAGAGGGGAGGCTCCGTCCGAACTTTACTGTTTGAGGCGGTTCTCGGTAGAATTTTTTGATGAATTTTTTTTAGCATGTTCCTCATTAAGTCTAGTTTATCCATACTAAATTTCAGCTCAAGATTCGATCGGGAATGCATTCAAATAAATTCTTGAAACATACTGCACATTATATGTGCGCAGAATGTGTAGTATGTTTCAAGAATTTATTTGAATGTCTTCCCGATCGAATCTTGACCTAAATTTGGTATAAATAAACTAGACTTGATGAAGAACATGCTTAAAAAATTTAATAAAAACAATTATAACGGACACCACCCCAAACTATAAAGTTCGGATGACACCCGGTCTCTCCGAATGAACCTGAGCATTGGTATATAAGTGGTATATAAATAAGAGTGAATTCCCTAAATAGGACTAAAAAGTGGAAAAATTGCACAAATAGGACTACATTTTTTAAATTCCCTTAATAAGACTATTTATGTGTGTTTGGACAAATATACCCTTGTAACTTGTGAAATGTTTTAATTAATAATAAAATCATAAAAAAATAATAAAAATCGAAAAAATACTAAAAATCGTAAAAAAAAATAATAGAAAATTAATAAAAATATTTTTTTAAAAAAAAAAAAAATTTATAAAAAATAAAAAATAATTAAAAAAAATCATAAAATTAAAAAAAACACATTACCACCCCCGCCACCCCCAACACCACCATCTCCCATCACCGGACAAAAATATGCCAACATTTTAAATAATGCCATAATGATGGCATAATCAATGAAAATGTTGGCATATTGAAGAGTAATTATGCCATCTTTTTGACATTTTCAGAAAAATATGGCATTTTTTTACCAAAAGTGGAAGAAATTTCACCAATCGGAGGTGGTGGTGCTGGGAGGCGGCGGGAGGCGGTGAGAAAGGTATCCATAATTTTTTTCATTTTTTATGGGTTTTTACTATTTTTTATTATTTTTTTAAAAAAATTAAAAAAATAAAAAATTAAATTTTTTATTTTATAAATGTTTTATAATTTTTTTTTTAATTTTTTTACGTTTTTTAAATATTTTTTTACGTTTTTTGTGATTTTATTATGAATTAAAGCATTTCATTATGAATTAATACTCTTAGGGTAGAAAATCAATGTTTAATCCTATTTAGGGAATTTTAAAAATAGTAGTCCTATTTGTGCTTTTTAGGAATTTTTTAGTCCTATTTAGGACAATTTGTGTATAAATAAAGAGTAGTTGACAGGTAAACCAGATTCAACCCATATCTACTTGTTCCTGCGTTTCATTTCAAGTTGAAGAAAGATGGGGAAAGCCCAAGCCTTCAAACAACAATTCACTCTCGGTTTCTTCCTTTCTCTAATAACTATTTCCCCAGTTTTAGTGAGTCATTTTTATTGTTAATTTTCCCCCTAATCACCTAATCAATTGCAGATGAACGGCTCCAAGAATCGCAAGATATGATCGCCAAATATCCTGATCGTTTGCCTGTACGTTCCCCTTCTCCTCTTATCCAAGCTATATTGTTCTTACTCTTCGTTTTTTGGTGACCATTTCTCAGTTCGGCAAAACTTATAGTCAAATTGTTAATTTTTGATGATGATCGGTTAGCATTAAATAGTCAATTTAGGGGATTTTAAGTTTAGGTAAGCTGTATTTCGTCTGTGTGTACCTTACTGGCTGTTAATGGAATACTGGATTAGTGTGATGCATAATTCTCAATAATTTAGCAATTTGCACAGCAAACAAGAAAAGTTTTAAAGCATTAGTGCTTTGCATAATCTTAATAGTTGAACTTCATTTTCTAGCGGAGACTCTGCAATAATTTAACATTAGTACTACTAATTGCCAGCAGTGATGTAATGCAATACTCCATAACTACTGATAATTTCCACAAATAGGGACAAATAGCAAAAGATGTTGGGGTAGGGGATGGAGGTAATAGAGGAACTGTATTTAGAGAAATTTAAAATCCTGGGTATTCCATTGTCATGTATAGGGAGTGTTTGTGATTACTTCTACTTCAAAATGTGATTTTAGAGAGAGTGCTTAATTGTAAAAGTTGGCAATGTCTTGATAAAAAGTGCTTTTGTAAAAGTAAGAGTTTGTAGTGTTTGGTAAAAGATGTTTTTTGTGTAATAGAAAAAGTGAAGCAATTTAAAGCACTCTTCCTCTTGCTTCCAGCTTTAAGCAAAAGCGATCACTTGAAAAACACTCATTTTAGCTTTTTTTAAGTGAAAAGCTCAAAAACACTTTTTTTTAAAGTTTTTGCAAACACTCCCATAGTCCTTTAGTACTCTGTATGTCTGCATAAGAATCCATATAGAACCTCCGTGTACAGAATTTCTCGCCTCACAAGGAGCTTCCTTGTTTGGTCTTAATTCCCCAAAAGTTACAGACAACCTTTTGGAGAGTTTCTAGTGTAGATGACCTTTTAATGCCACAAAAATGCTTGCGAGATGCTATTAGGATTTGATTTACATGACATGAGTTCTTCTTGAACCATATCCCCTACATAATGTCTTTTATGCTGCTAAATCCATGCCATAACAGTTTGCATGCGCATCACTATGCACCACAAATCTAAAGTCTTCAGAGTCACATAGAGGAGTTTTCCCCACTTTTAGTCCTTTTACTAGAGTGAAAATGACTCTTTTGGTACTTGTCTTCAAAGCTTTCTGTTTTTAGTCCTTGACTATTGCAACATAGACATTTTTGTAACTCTTTGATTTTTTTTACCGCAAATCCTCAAACTATATAGTGACACATTTGACGTTTTTGGTCCTCCGTATCTGTAGGGGGGGTTGAAATCTACCATCTTCATCATCCATATTCATCACTAATGCATATTTAGACCCTAGAGTTTCTTTGGTTACCCTTTTTCTCTCTTCACAAAATCTCTGTCACACTCTAAAGCAAATGAATTTTACTACCATCTGGCCTTTCAGTAGTTACATTGCTTCATTCTCTTGCACACATTAGTTAAAACTGAATTCAAAGGTAAGTATCATCCCATTTTTTGTGTATGTGTTTTCCATTCATAAACTTCAAAGAAACTGTATGTGAAATCTTTCAGTTAGATGTTTTTCTCATTCAAATGTAGAGCTTCCCCATTTCGTGTTTACCTTTTCTTGGTTCCTAGACTTCTGTGTCCGTGGCTCCGTGCAAGGTAGTGTAGGAGTGCATCTAAGGTTACAACTTTATTAACCCTCCTTTTTTATGCCCTCTGTGAGACATGGGAACTAATGACAATTTTAATTATTAGTACTATAATTGTGAAATGTTGTACTTGAAGGCGCAATGCCATCTCAAGCCATGCTTCATTTTTGTAATTTTTTGCAGGTGGTAGTTGAGAGATATTCAAAAACTGATCTCCCTGAAATGGAGAAGAAGAAGTAAGCAATCGGTCTTGCACTTTTTTTAATGCTGATTTTTAGCTTGTTGATGACTTTCATTCCCTGTGTCATTGTGATGGATAGATACCTGGTACCCCGAGACATGCCTGTCGGACAGTTTATCCATATTTTGAGTGCCCGACTCCATCTGGCCCCTGGGAAGGCTCTGTTTGTATTTGTGGAGAACACCCTGCCTCAAACATGTGAGAGTACTTCTCATATTTCTTCTGTGTCTATTCATTCATGGGTCGCCGTATTATTTGTCACTTTATTTTGTCCTCATTCTTTTTCTTTTACATTATTTTTTTGCAGCTGCATTAATGGAGTCTGTTTATGAATCGTTTAAGGATGAAGATGGGTTCTTGTACATGTGCTACAGCAGCGAGAAAACCTTTGGCGCCTTAACTCCTCTGTATTTTACATAACATTTTTCATACTCCTCTGTATGAAAGAAAACCGCGTTTACTTTCATCTGTACATTTTCTTAAGTTGTGTGTGCATATTTTTAATATAATAATATTCCACTCATCTCATATTCAGTTGCCCCATATATCCATACCGTCCAAAAATGTCTGTGCTATGCCAAATTTGTCCATGTTTTGTTGCTCAAAATTATTTGAGATGGGTATGAACTTTATTATGGGTAAATGCTGAGGCAATCTTTTTGGATGAGCTGTAGAAATATCAAATATACTATAACCAAAAGTGTACCTAATTCAAGGGGCTTACCCCAATACAACAATCCCATCAGTCAGCAAAACTCATACTAAAACCTCCAGGAAACAGTAATAGTTTTAGAAAGTAGAAACCAGCCTACAAGTTTAGCAAAACACTAACGGCCTGTTTGGATCAAGTGTTGGAAGGTGTTAGTAATGGAAGTGTTGAGGAGGGTTGGTTCTAACACTTGTTTGGGAGATTTTTTTAGAAAAATTTGGAGTGTTGGTAAGTGTTTAAAAGTGTTAGGAAAAACCTCCATAACACCTCAATAAGTAACTTTTTTAACACTCCAAATTGGAGTGTTTTGGAGTGTTGGACAAAACTTCCCTTCTTCCTGCCGTTCTACCTCCACCCTTCCGTCAAAATGGTAATCGTCGACACAATCCTACCATCGTAGCCTTTAGCAGTCATCCCATCCAATTGAAATCATCTTTCTTTGCTTATGTTTCCCACTTTCCCCACTTGCCATCATGTATTATTTGCAGATTCATGTCTTGACTCATCGATTTTATTTTTTCTCTACACATGTCATCCATGGGGTTTAATTATTACAGATTCATGTTTTTTTTTTCGAATTGCAAAATCATGTTATCAAACAAAATATACTCCGTATCAGTATTTTGCCAAAAAAGAAGTAAAACATACCGGTACTTAGTATGTGGTGTACGAATCAGGCCTACAGAGAAGCTTTTGAGAAGTAGAGGTATTTGCAGAATTGCAAGGCTTCGATTCCATCGAATATATATTGCTTTTAGAATTTAAAAGAGGACATTATTGTCAACTTAATTGAAAACACTTCCGTTGTTAAAACTTCATTTTTTTAATTCTCCCAATCAAGGTAGGTTTATATTTTACACTTATCTTCCCTTCCGGGTCATTGCCAACACTCACTAACACTTTCATTACTAACAGCTTTCAACACTTCATCCAAACAGGAACAACACTTCATCCAAACAGGAAAGGACTGGTCAAAAGTTTGATGGATATAATTTGTGAAGTACTTTACACTTTTACAGTTTACTAGTCACCACCTTGCATAGGCTATTCATCTAATTGTATGGTGCATGTACTTATTTTAATATTTATGCTGAGTGAAGTGATAATTATACTCGAATTATGAGTATTTTTCTCAAGCCCAATTTGTTTAAAAATTGAGCACCTCCAAATAGGGCTGGACTCGGGCCGGGCGGCCCGACCCGGAACCGGCCCGGCCCGCCCACTGTAGCAACCGGCCCGGTGGCCCGGTCCACCGGCGGTTCGGGTCGAACTGGCCCGGTGGATACCGGTTCCGGGCCCGGGCCTTCCATTTGGTGAACCGGCCCGGCCAGTTCGGGCCCGGTCCGGGCCGGAATTAATTTTGTTTTTTTTTTTTTGAAAATTTTTTAAGTTTTGGGTTGGATTAGGTATTTTGGGCCATTTGAGGTGGTTTGGGGTTGAGGGGGAGGGTTAGGGGTTAAATAAAAGAAGCCAAAAAAAAAAATTAAATACCCGGGTGAACCGGCCCGGTCCGGCCCGGAACCGGAACCGCCCACCCCCGGTTCGGGCTCGGGCCTCATATTTCTGAACCGAGGCCCGGCCGGGCCCAGGCCCGAGGCCCAAACCGGCCCGGTTCAGTCCAGCCCTACCTCCAAAACGTGTTTTCTTTTCTTTTTTCTTTTTGGTTGAGGGATATACTAACTTTGCAATATTCTATTTAGGTGTTGAAAGTATGCTTAAAAGTTGTATGTTGATTGAAGTACGAGGAAGATAATGAAAGATTCTTTGTAGTTGCTTCCAGCGGTGATAGAAATGCTAGTAAAATTTTGTTTATTTATTTCCACAATCCCAGTAAGCTTTTTATGTACATTAAGCTAAAGTATGCCTGCATGTTTAAGATATGGATCATGAAAATAACATTGACAAATGACAGTCAAATTAGAAACGTGCAATCAAAGGTCAAAGTGGATCCAATTAGGTTCATCAAATTGGCCTCTTAACTTCTCACCGTTGCTCCTACCCGCCAAATCCACCTCAGCTATTGGGTGCCACGCTGGCGTGCCATTCTCATATCCATTTGCCGTTAGCCTCTGCAGTGAAGTCCCATCTAACCTTACAATGTATAGGTCGCCGTACGGCTGAAACTGGTTGGGCAGCGATACTGGTTCTGCCGTTACTCCACCCAAGTTGGCCGTGAACAACATCCACTCACTGTCCGAACTGAAACAAACATGATTCAGTCTCTCCCTGCTGTTCACCTCATCAAACCCTTCCGGCCCGGCAACGTGAATCCTGCGAAGATCAGTTCCGTCGGGACGAATGACATAGATGCTAAACTGAGTGGCGTCGTCTGGGTCGTGTCTGTTGGACGAGAACGCGATCAGTTTGCCATCAGGTGACCAGTTAGGCATGGTATCAATCCAAGGCCCGTCTGTTAACTGGCGGATTTTGCCGTCTAATTCTCCATCACGGGAATCCATTACGTAGAGATTCTTGTATCCCGATCGACCAGACCGAAACACGATGTGTTTCCCGTCTGGCGAGCAAGATGGAAATGCGTTATTCCCGGTGGATTCTTTCGTTAAAATTTTGACATCCGCGGGGACATTTTCCTGAGAATCATTGCTCAAATCCGTGGGATCGAAAGTAACACGGGCTATCTGGACGGAAGCTTTGACAGACTCGAATATAGGCCCTATTGACGTGAAAATCACGCCGTGCTCCGTCGGGCTCCAGGCATTGCCGAACGCCGTGCGGCCAGTGATTAACGTCCACCGTTTAGAACCGTCTGACTTGACAATGCTGAGGCCGTTTGTGATGCTCGATTGGGAGTCCAATTTACGACTATATGCAATAAAATACCCCGATGGAGAGAAAGCAGGGAATGATCCATTCAGTCTAAACATCCTAAGAGTGTTCACCGGAGAAGTCACCGGATCCAAATTTGGAATTATGTCTTCATCGTGCTGTACCGATTCTCCTCTGAATCGATGGTAACCGAGCACATTTGATCCTGGAGAGACAAACGGGCTGTAGTGGTTGCAGTTAGGGTTTAGTAATTCGGTTACCGGATAAAATTCACCTGACTCCGTATCAAAAATTTCAATGTGCCGGTAACTACTGCCCCGCCGTCTGGTTGCGGTTGCAATTCTACTTGAATTGTGCATTGCTGCAGGGGTGAAGCAGTGAAGGCCCGGAGGAGTTACTCGAACAGGGGCGGCGCATGTGTGTTGAGATGAAGAATCGGTACAGGCGAAATTTTCCGGCAGATCAAACCTGTAAATACTCCACCAGCCGTCGTCGGCTTGGCGGTGAAAGTAGATTGTCCCATCGCCGGACCACGAAGGCCAACCACCGTGCTGGCACAGATGAATCCGCCTTGCTGGATCCAACTCTGGAAAAACGACGATATCCGTTTGGAGATCGTGAAACTCACCTGGCCAAGTACGAGACCCGTAAGATGCGACGGCGACGAATTTTCCCGTTTGAGAAACGGAGGGGCTGAAATCGGCTTCGCCGTACGGCGTCAACCGAGTGATTTTCCTCTGACGGAGATCGGTGGAGTAAAGAGCTGACCAGCTCTTGAAAAGCTCCGCGGGAGGTTCATGAGCAGAAATATAAAGCAGATGCTGTCCATTTCTGATGAGAGGGCGGTCATGGAAGACGCTTTGGGAGGGAGAGAGTAACTGCTGCGGCTTTGAGAGATTTTCCTGCAAGTAAACCCGAGACGATCCGGATCTCTATGAGACGAAGACGAGCGTGGCTCCTTCATCGAGGAACTGGCCATTGAAATTAACAGAAACACCATCCGTCAGGCGTTGCTCGGACAGAGTGGAATTGAGTTGGTCAAGAGATGGTGGAAGTGTGACGGAGAAGATATCGAAGCCGTATTGAGTTCTGCCTACGGTGGAGAATACAACAGTTCCGGAAGGATCCATATGTAATTTAACTGTAATCCTTTGTGTTACTAGGAGTGAATGAGTAAGGAAGATATGGCATGCATTTGTATGAAACCGATAAGATCATGCAATATAAAGGCGGTAGACAATCGTCATCGTCATAGGCGGTAGACAAATTGGTTTTGTATAGCCCCGGTGTAAAGTCTCCATTGCTGCAAGGGTAGACAAATCGGTTGAAACGACTAAATTTGTTGAAATGGTTGAATTGGTGGCTTCTCCGTATTCATTCAAAAGTATACTTAAAATACATTTTATTAATAAAATAAAGAAAAAAATTACATGAAAAATAGCTATAATGGTTATCTACACAAACTTCAGCCAATACAGCTAAAAAAATAACTCTAAACTTACTTTTTTACACAAGTCAACGCACGAAATCAAAAGTTACGTTGTTGGTGAAAAAGTTGATTGATAAGCCTGATAAACCGAAAAATTGGGTTATCAAACGGGCTCTTAATTTGGTTTGAATCTAATATTATTTAGAAGTGCAAATATGTTATTGAATTTTGTAAATCTCTTAGGTGTAAACTTTCCTATTTTTATGATCATTATAAGTGTCACGATATGTTTTTGATGTTGTTTATAATAATGTTATAGGTTTAACGTAGACTTGATAAAAAGTAAGACATTCTTGGTACTATAGAGCACGATATACTTTATTAAGATGCAATGTAGCTGCTTTTGAGATAGATTTATTTTCGAAAATGAAAATGTGACAATTACTCCATAGTTTAATACAACTGATGATATGAATACATGATACGTATAGAGTTATAGTAATACAAAGAGAATATATATTTTCAGAATTTAATTTGGATCAATTTGATTTAATACTACTTCTAGAAAGAGTAATTTTCAAAGCGAATAATGTACTTCCTCTGTCTCGTTAAAAATGTCTCATGATCTCGTCTTTCTTTTTTCGGTCTGTCCCATTAAGATTGTCACTAGTAGAGTATAGATCTAAGAAGTGAGAGCTATAGAGAGAAAGCTTGTATGCAATG